TCCGGGCGCCGCGTTACACTTCTGAGCGGCTTCGGGAAGCACAGGGCAGGGGAGTGTGTGCCCAGAGCGGGGGACAGGAGGCCGGCCCAGCTCCTGTGCCAGCCCAGGGACATACCTAGAAGCCTAGGTCAGGGTGATGATGGTGCGTTCTGGCGCTCACGTGTGGACAGACACACCGGCGGGTCTATGTGCTGTGGAGGCACCTGTCTTGTGAGTGGCTCCGGGCGTGGCTGCCCTTCGGACGTTCAGTTTCTGAAGATTTACCTCTAGGGGCCTACCTTCCCCGAGCTCCGGAGGGGAACGTGAGAAGTTTAACGGAGCCGGGACTGAGCAGAATAAGAGGGGAACCGCGGCTGGGCCGGAGAGGGTGGGACTGCGGGTGCCAGGGGGGGAAGGAAACCACCTATTTACCCCGTCGTCCAGCCCTAGGGCCTTTTGGCAAGACTGGCATGACCAAAGTGGCCCTGAAATGTCTAGAAAGCCCAGACAATGATGATCACTGAGTGAGTGGCACTGGACTGAGCCTGGGCGGTTTGTTGACTGACGGAGAGGGATGCTAGGGAGGAAACTCAGGATGGGGACCATCTGTTCCCCCGTCCCCAGCGGGACAAAGACCTCATCGGATGTCTGCAATGCCGACTGGATGGCCTCGCTGCCCCCTCACCTCCACAACGTCCCCCTTTCCAATCTGGCAATCCCAGGTACTCTTCTGTTCCTACTTGTTCCCACTGTGTTTGCTTCTGCCATTATAGTGCTATTAATGGGTTGGGTGGCTTTTCTATTGTGCTGAGAAAATAATTGTCAGTGACCTTAACTAAACCTCTGTTTATTTCCAAACCAAAAACTTAACACCGAGGCAACTGCTATAAAGAGATTTAAGTACATTGCATGGTTTGCAAAAGGGACTCGGGAGAATGGAAGCACCCTATTTTTGTTGTTTGGTTTGTCTTGTGGGGGTTTTAAAATTGTGTCTTTTTGTATTTTTGTTTGTTTGTTTGTTTTTACTTGATAGCCTTATCCTAAGACTATTACCTTCTTAATACTGGGGCCAGGATATGTGAAGGGGGCATATTTACTCGAATCACAGAAAAAGAGTAAGCAATAAAAAATCATTAACAATTTTAGATCTAGATCAAAATTAAAACTGAAAAGTATTTCCTTCTTAACTTCTCTGACCTTGCATATTAAGGGGGGGGGGTCACAAATTATCATTAAAGAATAGGTTCAAAACCAGGACTGAGAATAAGGACACATATTTTTGTTGTTGGAAAAGCCAGAAATAGAGAATGCAAGTGCTTGTCACAGGCAGTCATTAGGTGTGATGAGGTGGTGGTGTTTGAAGCTTTGTCTATATATACAGGTGTCTGCCTGACTGATCTTGAACTGCAGTCTTGAAAACCATTTCTTCTCCAGCTACTGTCTCTTTTCTGGGGGGGGGGGGGGGGGGTTATAACTTGACATCACTCTCATTAGATTTGTTAAATGGGCCCTTAAAATCATGGTTTCTAGGGAAGGACATTTGGACCACAGTGATCTTGGCCTCCTGTGCTGGACAAAATCCTAGATGCTGGTACTTGGAAAGCACTCCTAGAAGCAGAAGATGGACTACTGCCAATCCTTTCTCTCACCTGGAGACATAACAACTGACTTCACCCCTAGACTACCAGACAAACTCTGAGCATTCCTGGGAACAGTCTGCCTTTTGGGTGGCTAAAAGATGACCTCATGCAACCCCCAGATTTTTGCTTTCCATGCATGAGGAAGAGCAGTGCTGGCCTCAGATGCAGCCTTTTCTTAATCACCTCTAATATTGGAGGACTTCCAGGTTCATTGTCCTCATGGGCTCTTGCTGCTTTTGAGCAGGGAGAGGGCTGCTACATGTCTTTATAGTCATGATCACTTGTGTTTTATCTGCCTTTGACTACTGCTTCTTGGGAAATGCCAGATGGTTGTGCTTCAGAACAGGTCTTCTCCTTGTTTAATTGATGCCTGTGGAGTCATCACTGGAATGATGCACAGGCCTCTTTTAACATTAGTCATTTGCCATCAGGCATTCTGAAGGATTGTTTTGTCAAGTGGTATAGCAGATAGGTCGTGTGTGTTTGCAAACAGAATGGCATCTTAAGCAGGCCCTAAGTGGCTCTATCATTCAGGGCATGTCCAAAGTAGGTTGAGGCTTCCTCCTTCCCGTTGTACTTGGGACAGTTCAGACCACAGCAGCAGCTCTGCCTGTGGCTTGGCAGTGCACTCTGACTCCAGGACTCTGGGAAGGAGCTGGGCATTTGATCTGCAAGCTATAGATTATCTCACAGTAACTAGAGTTACCAGGGATTGCTAACAGCCGGGACCTGCTGTGGTGACTGGAAATTTAATGATTAGCCACGATATAGGACACAGGAATGTATTCACCCTGCTTAGTAAAGTCTGGTCCCTCTAAGCAAAAACAAAAACAAAAGGCCTTGACTCTTCAAAAGATGCTGAATTCACTACTGTGAATGCCCTTTTCCCAGCAGTGGAAGTATACTAGTATGTATGTATATATAAGCCCAAGACAGGAAAGTCACATATTAAGTGCGAGCCACCCCTTTCACACTTCTGCCCCATCAGTAGTTCCCTTTCCCCTACCTCATGCTAAATATTTCATGGCTAAATGCTAGCTGTTAAGTTCTGCCAAGCCTTGCTAGGAAACACAGAAGGCATTCAGGAAGTGGAGGCTACCATCTTCCTCCCCCTCCCTCTCTTCCTCTTCCCCCTCATCATCACCATCATTGTAGCTATTATTTCCTGAGCACTACCATGCAGTACCTACATTAGCTCAAATCCTTACACCTCCGAGATAGGTATTAATATCCTCATTTTGGAAATAAGGAAATTATTGTTCAGTGAGGTTAAGTAATTTTCTCAAATAGTAAATAGCAGAACTAATACTTAAACCTCTGTGTAGCTAGCTCCAAAACCCATGCACTGTTTTTGTGCCCTTAAGGGGACCTTGAGAAGTGCAGAGCAGCAGTGTATAAGGGGGTGGAGGGTAATTTCTAATTGAAAACCAGTTTTCACAGATCATCCTCTGCAGCAAATGAAAGAATTTTTCAAACTAAGTAGGTGTGTGTGTGTGTGTGTGTATGTTTTAATTTTCTACATTTTTAAAGATTTATTGGGGTGACATTGGTTAATAAAGTTATGTAGGTTTCAGGTGTACAATTCTATAATACATCATCTGTACCCTGTATTGTGTGTTTACAATGGCAAGCCAAGTTTCCTTCCATCATCACCATTTATCCCCCCTATGCCTTCTTCTACCTGCCTCCATCCCCCAAAACTAAGTGGTTTTTATCTGGTTATGAATCACTGTGAAGAGATAAATTGATACATATATATGTGTACATGTTATATATCCGAGTAATACAGGGGTGAACAAAAGTAAATTTACAGTTGTGAGTGTGTGAAACACAGAGTTTATTCTTGTACTATTTATTGTATTATATATATGTATTACAACTGTAAACCTACTTTTGCCCACCCCTGTATATACATATACATTTCCTTATTTACAACTGGAATAGTAGATTGAATTTTAGAATTGGAACCCAGTAAGTTTCAAACTTAGTACCTAGACCTATTGTATGTGTGCGTGCACATACACGAGTATGTGCTGACCTAGAACATCTGTAAGATAGTGTCTGATCTATCAGGATGGGGAGGGGGCATCAGTGACATGGGAATGGGCAGGAAAAGAGCAGGTGTTCTGGCAGTTATAACAGTCTGGGTCCAAGTTAACTATGTCAGATTTGACTGCATCTGCTGTGTTTTCCCAAGTCGTGATGGGAGAGAGCATATGTGAGTGTGCACCTCTCCACAAAGCCTTGATGTATTATTTTAATTCCACAACTGTCAAGAACACCTGTTAGTGACTGGTATTCAAACATATTCAAATATCTTGGAGAAGAACTTCAGAACAAATTTCATTGCCAACTGCACAGAGTGACTAGAGACGCTAAGGGTAAAGGACCTGGAAATTGCAGTAGTCAGATTTTTAAATTCCAGCTTTAAACTCTACACATATTTTTGCTGATGTTAGTGAAAGCATGATATTCTTTATGGACAAATGAACTGATAGGGACATTTTTTTCTATAATTCATATAGCTTTTCAGTGAATTCCTTTTCTTTTTATATTTTAGTGTTGATTGTTTGCCATTCTTTTCCCCTTCTTTTTATTGAAGGTAAATTATTAGAAAGAGCCCTGAACTTAAGGTTTTCAAAATTTGATATTGATGATTCTGTCTGTGGGATATCAAAGAAGTATCCAGATTTCTTGGGACTTTTCTATTTGTAATTAAGATGTCGGATTAGATGAAATATAGAGTCATTTTCACATTGAAAATTCTTTGATTAATTTGAAGGTTTGGTGGGGGTTTTTTTGGTTTGTTTTTTGTTCACACATAGAAAGAGATGGGAAGTATGATTGGGTCATTTTAGGTCACAGACCATTTCTTTTATGCCTCTTTAAAACAAGCATTTTTGGCATGTGCAGACAGGGAAACACAATTGCCAGGAGGAAGGGTCCTCTCACTTTGGCATCCTAAAAGGGACTGTCCATTAGTTATTCTGAATGAACAGGCTCTGAGCACTTTAAGAAGCCTCCAGAGCCCAGCTGGCGTGGCTCAGTGGTTGAGTGTCAACCTGTGAACCAGGAGATCACGGTTTGATTGCTGCTCAGGGCACATAACTGGGTTCAATTCCCACTCAGGCTCATCCTCAGTGGGGGGTATACAGAAGGTAGCCAATCAATGATTCTCTCTCATCATTGATGTTTCTATCTATCTGTCTCTCTCCTTTCCTCTCTGAAATCAATTAATTTTTTTTAAAGATGAATCCTCCAGGCTCAGGTCTGTGGGAGACTCAAAAATGAATTAGGCCTCAAAGGAGCTTATAATCTAATGGTAGACACCATACATAATTTTTAAAAAAAACAAATTGGGGTAAACAGAAATATAAATAAAGTTATAGAAGCACACAGAATGGAAAGATTAATTCTGAAGTGTAAGATTAGGAACTAATTTGTTTTAAAAAAAATGACATTTGACCTGGATTAGAAGAATGGCCAAAATTTTAAGGGATGTGGCTAAGGGTCAGGATTGGGAAGGGGACTTTCCAGGTGAAATAAGATAATTAAGCAAAGGGATGGTTGTATATTTGGGAAATGGCTGGAGGACTTCCCCTCCTGCCCCTCAGTAATGCTTTGTTAATATTTTTATCATAGCACTTCTTAACTAATTAATATTTTTAGGTATCTGTCTTCCAGATCATCTATGAACAACTTACACACAGAGAATATGATTTATTTATCTCTATAACCTGAATCTTAGTACAGGGTAGCAGCTTGGTCATTGCTGACCAGAAAATAAGTGTTGGGAAAGAAGCTTTTAGCCACCATAATTTTCAATTGTAACCAAATATAAACTGGATATATTGGTTAGGTTCACCTTGTGTAAATAGCCATGTGAAGCAATCGGAACATTTTCCCATAAATTTATTGTTATTTTGCATAGTATTTCTGTATTTCATGATAAGGCTTATCACGGAGCCCTATTATAGAAATGAGATTTCTGAGGCAGAGTGAAATGGTTGGAGGAGTCAGAAGCAGAACTCTGATATAACTTCTACCCTAGGAACAATCCCCCCACCCCCCCCTCACATGCT